GAAACATCTGCAGCATGTTGTCGCTCTCTGATTTCCGTGGTACAGAGCAGTACCATGGCGTCCAGTTTTAGAGTTATCAGGGTTATTCGACTTTCAAAAGTTCAACTAGATACGATATTCGGAAATTCAAGCAAAATTAGGAAACAGATTACCGAGGCCAGAGTAATCTAAGAACTTGAGAACAGAGGCTGGCCACCGTGAACGTTTTACTGGGAATGTACACGATAACCTGAATAGAGCTCCTACTTGTTTGCATTTTCAAGCAGAGGCATTCTGCTCTGACCTCTTTCAGTGATTACGGTATTGGTGATGAGCGTGGTGCACCTCCCGCAACATCAACGTAGTAATAGTAAAGTAAACTAGGTCGTAAGCTGGTCTATAAAAACAGGGTTCTCCAGACAATTCTGCAGTGTTGATACCTCGATATCGTCAATGCACTAAGTGAAACCGGCACAAATGAAAACAATAGGCGATTACGGGCCTTATACTGTGACTTGGCAGGGTTCAACAGAATAAATAAATAAAGATAATAGTGTAAGTGAAAGTTGTGAAAGTGTGAAAGTTCGTAGTGTGTGAAAGTTTCATTGCATAGACAGCAAGATGCATGACACTCTGATAGAATGCGCAAGGAACTGGCATCGGCAAATCACTGTGGGATGCGCCGCGTATCCGCCATACCTCCAGAAATATGGAGACGTTGGGATGCGTACTGCATGAAATAGTCATCAATAAAGAATGTTTGGTGATATATTCATGTGATCCAGCTACAAAGAAGGTGATACCACTTGGGCACACTCGCTCGCTTGAAAGACGAAGCTGATTAGGGCAGTTCGATCCCACGCTCTAAAAAAGAACAACTTCTGGTCATTGCACTTTTTCAGAAGGATCAAGTTCATAGTCGGTGCTTCCAGTATTGCAAAAAAGGATGCTAAAAGGAACAAGAAGAAGAAAAAGGGGAAAAAGAAAGAAAATGAATGAGGAAGAGGAGGAAGTATGACTTCCAACAGGGTGGTTACAATGATGTCCACCGCAGTGCTCCTTGTGAATCCTGCCAATGTTCATCCGGCGTTCGAGTAAAACTTGAATTAACAAAAATTCTAGTTTTTACTAGTGTGAACATGGCAGATCATGAAGCCCCGTTTGATCTCCCAACCCGCGATTTTCAAACGCAAGCGAACATGTCAGATCATGAAGCCCCGTTTGATCTCCCAACCCGCGATTTTCAAACGCAAGGCAGGCCGATTCGACCGATCAATAGGCGACGCTCTTTTTTATTTATTTCATGGCTTCCTTCCAATTTTTGTTTTTTTTTCTTTATTTATTTTTCTTTTCTTTTTTCTGCCTGTCCATTGTTTCATTTCTGTCGTAGTAACCATCGATTTCACAAACGATTACTTCATTTGTTGAATTGTGGTCTGTATTTCCTCGCTATTAATAGCTATTTGGCAGTCTTTCTGCCAGAACCTCGTTGATTTTCTTTCCAAACAAAGCTACCGTTATGCCGCTAGCGCACTCGAACACACGAGAGTTATAAGCATGATTGTTCCATCTTTCTTCATGAAATGCGTATTTTTCTGCCATGGCTTGTTTCTTCTTAGTTCCCTTTATACTGATTGTATGTGTTCGAGAATACCCACTTAAATTTTCCATAGAAATACTTTTCAGACTCCAAAGAGAACATTTTTGTTATAAGTGAACATGGTCTACTCCTCGAAAGTGTACGGGTATCCACATGTATATGAATTCGTCGAGATTCAGACGCTGAGCCAAAAGTGAGGCAGTTTTTTCCCTTAAAGGGTTGTGTTCTGTTTTTCCGCTATTTTGCTATAAGTTTTCAACTACTGCTATGTATCCTTACTTCGACTTGAAAAAAAGCTTGGATTCAGAGACCCCCAGTTTATTCGCAATAAGCCCTTCATCAGTAGGGTACCTTTTCACCAATTTTATTCTCTGTTTTTCTGAAGTATTACGTTGTAAATAGGTTCATAGCCTCTATTCTTTCCACCATGAGCATGGCAAAAGGTCAGGTTTGATGGGCATGAAGCGTCGTACTTAAATTTACTACTCCCATCCAAGAGTTATTATGCTGCCATCGTTGAACTTTCAGGGCACATCTTGAATATTCTTCGATTTAGAGTAGTGAAAGGCTTCGCATGCAATAATTCACATAGTTAATCGATGTTTATATCGATAATTTACCTTCTCGGACGAAAGTAGTACCAGTTATTGAACTGGTCTTATCGTGGATATGGAGGCCTTGAGTAGTTCTTGATCTTTCCGATCACAGAACCAAGTAGAAGACTGGTGGGAACTTGGAAGTTACTTGGTTGAATATTTACCAAACAGAGTGGCTTTACTAAAACAAGCCGATGTACTGATACATCTGTGTGTAAGTTGCTTACAGCATCCTGTATGAAAGAAAGGAAGTAGTAAAGGATGATGGATAAATTCTCCGGCGATGGTCAATCCTTGGAACGCCGCAATTCGAATTCCATTCAAAATCCTAGTAGTTTTCGAAGGCATGTGTAGCCCATACAATGACTTGCAGAAGCCGCTGTACAAGTCAGTGCTTTTATCCTCTCAGACCAGGCTGGTACCAGTTGATCGAATCCGAGGAGTGGAAGCCTTGGTTGGTTTGATTGAGTATGATCCGGGATCCGATCCTAAGACTTTTCATAGTATCCACTTGCCACTTCCCACTTCCGCCAATTTATAGCAGTATAAAGCGTCGTTCAGAATACCAAAGCTTCATGAAGAGCAAGCATAGAGGTTATTGATTAATTTTATTGATGACAACCCCATCGCTGAATTTGGGATAGTCAACATATAAAAGCAGCCATCCTCATGCCGTGTCGAATACCCTTCGGCGAGCATAAACCTCAAGCCTCTGGTCAATTCTTCAATGTCCGAGCAACATCGTGATGAAGCAAAGCCATTATTAACGGTCTCGAAAGTGCCACTTTCAGAGCGGCGAAAAAAAAAACTTCCGTGTACTTTTCCAACAGATGATGAATCGGTCGCTGACTGACGTCTAAAAGAAAAACGTAGTACTTCATAGAAAATAAAAAGTGAAGATTGCCATGGCAATGGGATATTGATGAGACTGCGCAAGTTAAGTCTCTCTATGAGCGTGAATAGTACTTGTTTGTTTGATTTTGAAGAAGTGACGTTCCATTTTAAGCACCTATTTTGCCTTGCCATAGTCTTTGTGATTGGTGATGAGCAGATTCTGTTTGGAAAGGAAAAAAAAAAGAACTGTAGAGGAAAAAATTCCTTCGGGTATGCCACATATCTGATTTCAGCTCCAAATCATGGGAATTTACCAGCGCAACTCCTTGACTATGGTTAGTAGAATAAAGTCGTCACAGGATCTGTTATCTCGTATGAATTAGGATTGATTTTTCTTCAATCATTTTAGCGGGAAAGTTTTGTCCCTTCCTTTTCTGATAACGAGCCTTGTCAATGTGCAAAAGTACAGAAGATTGAACATATCCATCATCGTTATCGACTATTTTTCTAAAACGTTTGAGCAGCTTGCAGATGTCTGTATGCAGACTGAATACGAGGGATGTGGTAGTACTTTTATTTTATAGGTTGATGCATAATTATTGAGGATTTTTTTCGCGGCCTTTTTTCTCTCGATAGAATTCAAATAGTAAAGTCAGATTTTTTATTGGAATGATTTTCTCGCTTTTCTTAAGAGAAATGTTCTTAAAAAGTTATCTTCAAATTCGTCACATGTTCTATTACTCCGAAAAAGGTTGGAAGCACAGTCATTTTTATTTTTTATTTATTTGTACGCAGATAAACAGATTATCCACGTGGGCATAAAGTGATCTCGGCGATGGAACAGTCAGCCAGTGCCGAATAAAGAATGGAATCTGCTTCTACGGTGGCCCTATCCACCAACAGAAACTCCTAGAGATTATCACGTCAATCGTTGGAAAATTGGCTATAGGACGGAACTTACGACGAAATGGATGACTTGATGGCCAATGCCAATGCGTGGATCACCTCCAAGAATCGAAACTTTTTCGCCTGTGGAATTCGATTGCCTAGCAGTTGGGAAGCAGTGTTCACCACAGATGATGGGTACGTTCTGGAGTGACTATTGGAACACGTTTTTGTCCAACATTTTCATCATTTTTTTTTGAAAAAAATCCGCAATAATTATGCATCAAGCTAATATAATACATAGCTGTTGCATGTTGAGATTGACAGTGGTGATACGTCCCTTACTGAGTAGTTGCCAATGTACTAGCACATGTGTTGTACATCCCAACATCTTTCGATGTGTCTCCTGGACTGTCTCAATGTGCTTCCCTGTGAGATTTGTTGTAATATATCCACTTTTTTCTCGCTAGTGATGAGATGTTCCAGCCATCTGTTTCCATTGTGGCAATTGAGCGAAGTCAAGCAAACGCGACGATCACGGTTGACGGGGTTGAGTCCCGGTATCTTTTTTTCGCCAAGTTTCAAAAGGGGAACAGTGAGCTCCTACAATCTTCATCACTACTTCATAGGTTGGAGAATCCTTCTCCAATATACGTCGTAGTTCGCTCAAGAAGAGCTAAGATAGTCGCAGAGATCCTCGTTCGTCTCGAGAGTTTAGTCACGATAGTGGATTAGTTGTGGAGTTCGAGGCAAACATAGAACATTAAGGAGAAAATGCATGTACAGTTGTTGA